CTGGTTCTTCAACTCAGCATTTTTGTTATCACTCTCATTTGCCCTAGACTCTAGACTTTTGCATTTTGATTTTAGGATCACACATTCCCTAGACAGAACTTCCTTCTCATTGTTAATTATTTCAGACTCATCAATGAAGTCTAGTAATAGCTCAGCCAACCTTTCTTTAGACAAGAATTTAATGTTGTCTTTGCTATGAAGAATACTGACCTCTTGTTCATCATCTGATTCTCCGATGGCTATCAGTGCTTGTCTTCTTCAGCTTCATCTTCTGAGTCTTCATCTGAGGTTTCTCCCCAAGCAGCAACCATAGCCTTGGTTGAACCTTTATTTCTCTTTGGTTGAACCCGTTCCTTCGTTCAGCTATTTCTTTCTTCCACTCAATTTTCCATTGAGGGCAGTTCTTGATCATGTGATCAGTCTTACCACACTTGTAGCATCCCTCATCGGTGTGTTTCTCAGGAGCTCTTGTCTTGTTGAAGGTTTTACCTCTTGAAAAACCCTTTCCTCTCATCAGGTACTTTTTGAAATCTCTAGTGATCATAGCCATCTCATCATCTTCCAGATCTGAACCTTCAGCAATTCTGAGAGCTAAGCTTCTCTCCTTCTTAGGGGTATCCATCTTCATGGTTTGCCTTCTCATTTCATAAGCAGTCAGATTTCCAATCAGTTCATCCAGTCTGAGAGTAGCAATATTCTTGGATTCCTGAATAGCAGTGATTTTGCTTTCCCATGTGACTGGCAGAACCCTTGTCAGAATTTTCTCAACCTTGTCTTCTTCAAGAATAACCCTTCCAAGAGACGTAAGTTCATTTGTCAATGTAGTGAACCTAGTATACATCTCCTGGATAGTTTCTCCTTCCTTCATAGTAAAATTCTCATATTGAGAATACATTAGTGTTCCTCTTGATCTTTTCACTTGAGGTGTTCCTTCATGGGCCACTTGCAAGGTGTCCCATATCTCCTTAGCAGTAGTACAGCTTTGGATCCTACTGTACTCATCTGGACCTAGTCCACACACAAGCCATTTCTTGGCCTTAGCATTTTTCTCCCACTTCCTCAGGTTGCTAGGGGACCATCAGTGACTATGTCCTATAGTTCATAGTCTTCCCCTATGATGTGATCTCTCATCCTGTTCTTCCACCAAGAATAGTACTGACCATTGAAAAGTGGAGGCCTAGCAGTGGATTGCCCTTCCCAATTCCCGGGTGGTGCACTCATGTTGATCTTCTCCATATCCGGATTGTGTCCTCTTCCCATGAGGATACTTTCTTTCCTCATCCAATATGCAACCTTTTCGATCAGTTCAGGAGATATTGCTGCTTTATCCTTGAGACTTATCTCCTTCACGTGTATCCCACATGTATAGGTTGATAAACACTGTGTCTCACATAATGGACCTGGTCCATGACTGAGTTCATTTGTCATTCTTCAAAACTTCACCTGAACTTGGGCCAACAAATTTCCCCTTTTGGATGATGACAAACTCTGTGCTTTTACTGATCAGAGAACCTGTGGAACTCAGCTAATCATCAACACTTTAACTTAGAAATTTTAACTTATCATCAAGGACCAGGTTTAATCAGGTTATAAATATCACATTATTCAGAATAACAAGTAAAGCACAATATCTCTTCCCCTTTTGGTATCGTCGAAAAGTTGCAAATATTATGAATCCCAGATTTTAATAATTACTCATAGCCACTGGGGCAACTGCAAGTGAAAACATGGTTCAATTAATCAACAACCAACAAACAAAATTAACTATTAAGTTCAGAATCTTCATAGAATAAGAGAAAAAGCAAATTGTCATTGATTAGGATATGTTTCCACAAACAGACCACAAAGAGAAAGAAAAACTTCCAAACATGAGCAACAAAAATAGAAAAAGTCCCGAATCTGGGTCACTAGGGTTCTAGATAGGTTCAAAAACAAGAAATGGAAGACCTAAGGCTTGGAGGAACTAGAGGGCTGGGTTTGGAGAAGGTTGAGCATATTCTTAAGCATTCCTTCACTTTTCTCCTTTTCTTTTGCTAGCTCAGCTCGAAGGCCATCTCTTTCAGCTTCCAAATCAGCAACACGAGC